GAATGTAATACATGTGAAGATGAATATATAATAATAAATAAAGAATTTATTCATTATTCAAATATTAATAAATGTAAAGAAACAAAAAATAATAAATGTTCAAAATGTTCATTTTGGTATGGAATCAATGAAGAAGGAACAAAATGTAATAAAGAAATTGTATGGTGGATGATAATGATAATTATCATCATTATACTTATTATCATCATTATAATAATTATAATTATAATAATAATGATTAATTACATTATAAAACGCAAAGAAAAGAAAGAACAAGAGAAAACAACAACAATATTTAAAATTTCACAATCAAATATCAAATTTATATCACTTGGAGATGGAATAATAACAAATAAAAAAGAAATAGAAATAGGAGAAGGAGAAGAAATTGAAGTAAATAAAGAAATCAGAGAATTAATATGTATTGGAAATGAGAAGAAAGAAAAAAAGAAAATACAAATAAGTAGTAAAGAAGAAAATGAAAAATATTCAATTAGAACAAACCCAAATATCATTACAATTGAAGGAGGATATGCATGTGAATTTGAAATATTCATTACAATCAAATGTACTACTAAAATTAAAGAACAAATGATGATAATAAGTAAAACACTTAATAAAACACAAGAAGAAATAATTAAAAGTATTTCAATTAAAGGAGAAACACAAATATCAACACGACTTGATCCAGATGAAATAAAAGAAGAACATAAAATAGGAGAAGGAACATTTGGAATTGTATATATAGGAGAATTTAGAGGGAATCAAGTAGCAATTAAGAAAATGAAACAAATTGATAAAGATGAAGATAAAATGAAAGAATTTGAGAAAGAAGTAATGATGTTAGATAAATTTTGAAGTGAATATATTATTCAATTTTATGGAGCAGTATTTATTCCTAATAAAATATGTATGATAACAGAATATGCAAAATATGGATCAATACAAGATTTAATTAATAAAAGAACAAACACAGAAATACCAAATAAAATAAGAATTAAATTTATGATAGATGGAGCAAAAGGAATTTCATATCTTCATTCAAATGGAATACTACATCGAGATATTAAACCAGATAATTTTCTTGTTGTAACACTTGATGATAATATTGGAGTTAATTGTAAATTAACAGATTTTGGAAGTTCAAGAAACATTAATATGATGATGACAAATATGACATTCACAAAAGGGATAGGATCACCTATTTACATGGCACCAGAAGTACTTAATCGAGAACATTACAAAATGCCATCGGATGTATATTCATATTCAATAACAATGTTACAAATCATTACATGGCAAGATCCATTTCCTAAAGAAATATACAATTTTCCATGGGATATAGCAGATGCAATCACAACAGGTAAACGACCAACAATAATACAAGAAGTTAAAGAAGACATTAAAGAAATTATTGAAAAAACATGGAAACAAGAACCAAAAGAAAGAATAAGAATAGAAGAAGTAGTAAGAATGTTAGAAAGAATTGAAAATAAAGAATGAAAACAAACATAAAAGAAATAGAATTAATATTTCATTTAATTCTATTAAACAACTTAATTTTATTAACATACTTTATCATTTCATTTAATTACAAATAATGAAATGAACAATAAATAAATTAAAATAGAATATATTCATTCAAAATAACTATATAATAAACAAAATGAAAAATAGAAGAATAAAATATGATAAATAACAAGAATGAATACATAATTATAAATTATATTATAATAAAATTGTTTTAATTATATTTGATAGAATTATTAATTGATTTATGAATGACAGAGATATTAATTAAATGATGTATTTGTTATTTTAATTTTATTATTGATATTGTTTTTATCTTCTTTTCTTTTAAATATAATTTTCATATTTATCATATAATTTAATTAATTTGTGAATTGAAGATACAATATCAGAAACATA